TAAAAATGCATTGTTATTTGTAAATCAAGTTTTGTCAAAAATCCATTGAAATGTGAAAATTAAACCTAATTTAAAATTTAATAATTTTAAATTTCTTTTCATGAATTCTTCTTTTTTGTTAATAAGTAATTCTAGTTTAGGTTAGCATACTAACTATTCTGTGGGCTGCCTTGCATGGTGTGCTTCTTCATTTCCCTTTGTGGAAATCCATGTGATCTGACTTTTCAACCCCTTGTTTATTAAAGAAGAAAATCAGCATTGTTAGGCAAGATTTTCTTTTCAACTGTACTGTACTTTTCTCCTGTTTGACATTGACTCTCTGGTCCCCTAGGGTCTAGAGATAGGAGTACACTCTTCGGCTTTTATTGTTATGAAGATTTGTTATCAACCAAAAAAATTTATAATTTTTCTTTAATTGTTGAAAAAAATGATGTTTAATTAAATTTTATGGAGGGTTTTATTAAGAAACATAACAAACGGAATCAAAGAAAGAAAGGAAAAAATTGATATCATGCGTATAAAACGAATATTTTGCAATTGCATGATGCAAAACAAAACCTCCTAAAATTTTTGTGAGTACTGTTGTGATTTCCAAGAAAATGGATTGGAGTCCATGCTTCTTAAAAATGACGGGATAAATATTGAAAAGTTAAGGGAGTATATAAAATAAAAGAGCAAGTATACAAGTATTATTTATATTCCTGTAGTACTTTTCCGATCCTTAATATAAGACCCATTTAACTAATTTGATTAGATTAAGGAAGTTAGGTAGCTTAATTAATTATAAGAAAAGTGACACGTTTTTCCTAAAACACCATAATCATCTTTCTTAATACCTCATCTCCCTCTTTTACTTGATTATGGTTGAGGGAGTATCCATAGGTAATTTAGAGAAAATTAATAAATATGAAAAATGGATCTTACATTAAGATCAAAACCAATTAAAAAATTAGGTCCTATATTAAGGACGAAGGAGTAGTTTTTACTTTTTACAATGGTTATATTTCCATGTGAGTTGTTGAAACCTAACTATAACCATAATTTATTTGCGTGTTAAAACTTCTTACTTCTCAAATCAACTTACAATTTAAAACTTGAATTTGATCAGAAACAACTGTTAGTCTGTTACTATAATTCCTGCTTTTATTTAGATTCCAATACATATGGTTAATATCATTATATTATTAGCTTGTATACATTGATTAATCGATGCATTTATGTGTTGAGGTGGTGCTTATGTTAGTGTTTTGCAATGTGTTTCTATTTTGGACCCTGAGCCTCCAATTTGATCCTGACACAAGATCAGTTGATGGTTCTGTCTTTCTTTTTTTTTGGCCTGATATGGTCTTGTCATTTCATTTAAAAAAATTGACTTTCATTATAATAAAAAAATAGTTATAGCCTCAAGATCAAAAAAAAAAGAAAGTCAAAAGTCGGTCCAAATATCTTTGTTCAGATTAACGAACAAGAAATATCTTTTCTCAATACCCAAAACATGTCAAAATTTCGGCTTTAGTTGCCATAAAACACATAAACAAGAAAATGACTTAAAATTCACTAAGTCAGAACATATCAAAACATTACATATGGACGTGGCCGGCAACCCTTTTAACTCATAATTGGTTTGGAATCACGATTTTAAGTATTTATAAGCATATTTTATATAAGGCCATACAAAATTTCTCTTACATACTTATATCAAATTTTATAAATTATTATTAAAAAATTATTTATAAGTCATTCTAAATGCAATCTTAAATTTTGTGACATGTGGACTTTGATTTCTCACCGTTTTACAATGCTACCAAAAAAAATAGCATAGTTAGTTGCGCTTTTTCTAACTGCTCTATTTCTCCCTTCAACATGATTCTTTAATTTACATTCCGGAGACGTGTGAGATGAAATTAGGACGGTAAACATATACTCCTCCGATACTTAATGTAAGATCTAACTGAAAAGTTAATATTGATCCTATATATAAGATTTATTTTATATGTTTATTAACTTTTTTCAAATTAACCATATTGATATTCTTTTAATAATAATCAAGTAAAAGAAATAGAGAGGAAATTAAGGAAGATGTTTAGGGTGTTTTAAAAGAAATATATTATACTATCTCCGGTCCTTAATATAAAACCCCATCTGATTTTTAGTTTGATCCTAATTATAAGACTCCAATCTATTTTGTCTCTCATATTTATGTATTTTTTTCCAAGATAGCCCTTCTAATAATGATAGTTTTAGCCAATACACTTAATTAGCAAGGATATTTTAGGAATGACAATACTTATTTATTACAAATAACTAACTTAACTTACTTTTTTAATCTCTTCGAATTAGTCAACTGGGTCTTATAATTAGAACCGGATATAGTATTAACTAACTCAACTAACATTCTTAATATACTCAAATTAGTTAATTAAGTCCTACATTAAAAATTAAAAAGGGAAGAACACTGCTGTTTTTGCAGGATAAAAAACTTTTTAAGAAGCTTTTGAATTTTGTTGTGATTCCTAAATATTTTAAGAAAATGAAGTTCGTACTTCTTAAAAGTGACCGGATAAAAATTGAGAAGTCAAGGGACTATGAAATAGATATGTTCAATGCTTGGCTTCCTTGAAGGTGTTGGGACTCGGGCAATGGTGTGGACTCTGGAATAGCAATAGCGTCTTTTGAAAACACATTGCTTTCATTTTATTTTGATCTTTGACAATCTTGTGTTGAATTAAACTTCTCTCTATTAAAATTATCAGCGAAACCTGACTATTTGATGAAGAAAGGTGAAACAAGAGAGACCTCCGAGTTTTGATCGAAGAAATATTATGCAATTCTGAATTAAGGTCGTCGAATTTGTTAAGAGTATAAATGAAGATTTTCCCAAAACCATCAAGAGAGGGCTTTGTTTGACTAGAGATAGATGGCTCGGCCTTGAAAAATGGCTATGGAACTTGTGGAGGTATAATTAGGGAAAGCCTGGAGCTCGGTTGACAGGTTGTGCCACAAAACTGGTATATTTTCCGCCTGCAATAACAAAAGTCCTGGGATCGTTGAAGGATTGGAACTTTGCTGGTTTAGTGGTATCAAGAAAATGGAGGTCTTCAGTGATTGTACAGAAGCAATTAATATTATCAGAAGAAACAAACACTTAACTCATCCGTATGAACACATCATCATTCAAGAAGCAGTGAAGAACTGAATATCATAAACGAGACTATCGTTTTAGGAACAGAGAAATCAATGTATGGCTAACTCATTAGGTAGGAAAGTCATGACATCACTGAAGATTTTTGTATATTTGATCATACCACCTTTCTGTATAGAGGTAGTGAATGATGAAAGATAGTACCCCATCCTTGGTCCTTATATAAATTTTGAATCATTAGTATATGCTTTCCACTTGGAGAGTGGAACACGTAGAGCGATCAAATGCTAATCTGATAGAATCTCTTTTGACTGGCAAGGCAAAATATTCAAGCAAAAGGGAAGTTGCTTTTTAATAACCAAGATGTTGACCATACTATTTTGGAGAAAGAGCAGAAAGCTAGTATTATTTAGGATGTTTCAGACCTACATGGGTCAAAAGGGTATTTTGGGTACTGTGTGCATTTCTCTTGAGTTATATTGACCTGTTGGTGTATCAGAGGAGGGGGGGGATCATTTTGAAAACTTGAGTTTGGTGAGGAGAGTGCTGGCCTCTCGAATGCCAGGTCAGGGAGGAGGAAGAGAGTCTTTCTTAATCATTTATCTTTTATGTTTCAGTGTGTTCCTTTGCTGTTGTAACTTCTTTCTCTTTTGGAAGGAGATTATTGTTATTTAGCAGAGTTTCAGTGTTGTTTTTCCACTATTTTATCTTGGTCCCTATCATTTTGGTATCAGAGCAGTGAGATCTTGGGGGCCTCTAAATAGTAAGAATGGTGGTAAAGGATGAAAGGTGGTACAGAACACTACCCTTTTTTTACGGAGAAGACGATCCCTTTGGGTGGCTCTTTTGTGTGGAAAGCTATTTTCTCACCAACTTCATATCAGAGGACGAGAAGTTGGAGGTTGCTGTGGCATGTCTTTGGGGAAAAGCTATGAACTGGCTTATTTGGTTTGAAAATAGAGCAACCATACATAGTTGGGATGAGCTCAAGAGGGAGATAATAAGAAGGTTCTCTGCCAAAGGGTTGAAAAAAAAAAGGAAGAGCAGAGACTTGCCAAAGCAAAGGAGACATTAGACAAGAAAGGAAGAAGATGATGCTGTAACAGATGAGAAAACGGACGAGAGGGAACCAGTTAAGCAAGAAGAAGAGGGAGAGAAGAAGCCAATTGATAAACAATTAAAGTTGACACCTTTTTCATCAGATGCGAAGCTTGAAGAAGTTTCTTGTGACAACCCATTTAAAAAAATGAAAGCTGAAGCGTTTCAAGTCGACATTGTGCCAATCGGTACAATGTATGTCCAGCATAGAAGTGTTACAGCAGAAGAAATGAGTAAGAGAAGAAGGGATGATGTTCTGTACCACCTTTCATCCTTTACCACCATTCTTACTATTTAGAGGCCCCCAAGATCTCACTGCTCTGATACCAAAATGATAGGGACCAAGATAAAATAGTGGAAAAACAACACTGAAACTCTACTAAATAACAATAATCTCCTTCCAAAAGAGAAAGAAGTTACAACAGCAAAGGAACACACTGAAACATAAAAGATAAATGATTAAGAAAGACTCTCTTCCTCCTCCCTGACCTGGCATTCGAGAGGCCAGCACTCTCCTCACCAAACTCAAGTTTTCAAAATGATCCCCCCCTCCTCTGATACACCAACAGGTCAATATAACTCAAGAGAAATGCACACAGTACCCAAAATACCCTTTTGACCCATGTAGGTCTGAAACATCCTAAATAATACTAGCTTTCTGCTCTTTCTCCAAAATAGTATGGTCAACATCTTGGTTATTAAAAAGCAACTTCCCTTTTGCTTGAATATTTTGCCTTGCCAGTCAAAAGAGATTCTATCATAATCCAAGATTGTGGTCTCCACTTTCAACTTTATTATATTATATGGGCATAATGAAGTTACCATAAGAGTATAAATAAAAGCACAGGCCCATAAAATATTCTTCCTACGCAAATAAACATTAGAAACCCAGAAAAAAGACAATCAGAGCACGGAAGGCGCACTGCCAAAAGAAGTTAATCAACTCAAAGGCTCAAATGTACATCTCTCCAGGCCTTCCTTCCTACAATGCTCAAAACTGGAAATTACATATATGGTTGGTGTGATGATTGGAGACTACTACTACCACCCATGTAGCTACTATAATTAGAAGGAGCAGCAACCCTATCATCACGATGATAAAAGGGAAATCTTTGGTCATTTACCTGCTGCGGGTATATGGTTTGGCCAGGAACTTGATAATCATATGTAATAGCGCTTGCATGAGGGTACCTGTCCGGAATCCCTGGATATGGTCCTCTAACAGGGGGAGGCTGCCTAGCCATAGTGGAAGAAGCGGTGGCACCACCACCAACTGATGGACGGAATGCAAAATATCCTCCATTTGTCCTTGGCTTCTTCGGTTGCTGACGTTTGCCAGGTTCTCCAGTTCTCTTTCTATCTGTCTTAAGCTTATCTAGTTGAGCAACTCTCCTCTGAAGAGGATCAAGTGGGTAGTCAGACTCAAGCTTGTACTCTTCAACGCACTTGATTACAGCTTTAAGGGCTGCAAGCTCTTGAGCATTAGCATCATTCTGCAATAAATGACAAATTCCAATTAACTCTATCACAAGCAATCAGGGACAAGAGTTAAGAGAGAACTTCAGACAATCACTTGATTACTTTAAACTACAATTGACCATCAAAGCTACCTTCTCACCAGCAACGCTGCCTCCAACCTTTCCTTGTGAATTTCTCCGTAGGTCCTTAAGATAAGCCTTTAAAAGGGGTACAGGGGCAAATCTCTCGTTAAGCAGGAAGGCTTGAATAAAATGTACAGCTGCGATTTGTTTCCCATCATTGATTAGTAATTCCACAATATCTGCATAAAATATAACGGGGGGAAATCAACATATGACAATCGTATTACCTCTTAGCATGTAAAATTTTATCAAAAGCAGCATATGTGCCCGTGTCTATGCTTTTTCAGGTTACCTAACTTCCTACGTTACTCTAGATAAAACTAGTCATCTATTGTCAAGGACGGCACTGATGGGACAGTCCTTCATTGCAGACTTCACAGGCCAGTTAATTGAATGAACACCAACCTGGCACTTTGTGAGTTAACCCAAGAGAACGGCAGAGCTCAGGAGCCTGCCTGTGTTGAGCAACTGCAAGAACAAGCTTGCAGAGTTCTTCTTCATCAAACCCTGAGGCAATCTTAAAAGTCGAGAGGAGCTGCAAGAATGCCTCTGCCTCCAATGAATTTCCATTGGCAGCATAAGTGCCTGCTCTAGCCAACTTAGGCCTCCACTCATCAGCAATTGCCTTGGCTTGCTGCTTGGTTTCAGGGCTCAGAAGGTGATCAGTATCTGATTCAGCCCTTGCCAACAAGGTGGCGAAGGCTTCCATAAGTATAACACAGGATTTGCGCATGCCCTGAAGGGCAGCATCCATTTTATCTCCTAGTTGGGTAGTTTCATTAGTGGGGTAAAACCCCTCCAGTGAATCCAGCACCAAGTCGGCTGGTTCAGTTGCACTTTCAAGTGCAATAGACAGTTCTTCACGAAAGACAGAAATGTTTTTTTTACTCTCCACAGTATAATTCAGAAGACCTTTTGCATCCATTTGCTCACAAAAATGTGTCAGCTCTGGACGTGGCTTAACCTCATTTGCACCCAATTTATAAGGAAAATCATCCTCTTGGGAGTTTTCATCACCAAAAGAGCTTCTTACCTTGTTATCTTCGTTCTCCCCTTCATCTACAGACCCCAAGGATGTTGCCTGGTGATTTGCACAAGCCTCTACAATGGCAGCAACAGCAGCATCTTTTAGCTCCTGCACCCGATCTAAAAGGTCTTGTTCTTTAGAAGCAACCTCTTCCTCTCTCTCTGCAAGCTGTGTATGCACTTCTAGTTTCTTCTTTTCATAATCTCTCCCCTTAGCCTCAAGCTCCTCAAGTTTCTTCTTCAATGCAGACTCAAGATCAAGGAAATGCTGCTTAATTTCATCCCACTGAATGTTATTCTCAAAAGCCTCCTTGCGAGCTTCTAGTTCAAGAAATGCATGACCAAGCTGCTCTATCAGCAATGATGCCTCATTGTCGTTGCCTTGCTCCATGTCAGCATTTATCAAATGTGGCCAGCAGCACTTAAAGAAAAGTTCAATTTAATGGTTAGATCTATAAAAAAATGGTAATGTTTCCACGAGACCAGCAATAATTTCTGATGAATTCATGTACAGAAAAAACTTGCAATTTAAATAGAAAGGATAATCAAGTGTTCCTCTTTAGCATTGATTTTTTTTTAATGAGTTACATCATTCTCCATTGTAGCCTTGCGTTTAATATAATATATTTATTTAGTTCCAGGAATTATCAGTTGAAGGGTATCTACCTAACAGTCTGCATATTCGCGGTGCCAATTGAACATAAGTTTTTCGAATCTGATTGCCAATTTTAGTCTATCCGATGTAATTATTCTACCCATATAAGTCAGTACTCAGTATATAAAATAAACTATAGAGTAGATTCATAAAAAAAGAAAAGCAAACGATATTGAAAAAGAATCGAAACAATTAACTTATCATAAAAAATATATAATTTCATAATTAATACATAAACACAAACTCCGATAGTAAAACTAATTTATCTCAAGCTTTCTTGCAGCCCAAACAGAACGCACCCAATTACATCCGTGGTTCCGATAATTTTCATTCACCAGACATCATAAAGTGTTACAGTTTCTTTTTTTGCAGAAGCAAACAAATCGACATCGAGCACGAGGCAAAAAAACAAACAAACCAACAAACTGATGAACACTCTGAAACTGCAGCATCACAAGAAAAGAAATGGGACGGGAAAAGCTTGTTAATGGAATAATGGAGTGGAGCAAGTTTTAGGATAGAAAAACATACCTCGACCACAGTCAGCTATCACACGACATCAAAACCCTAGACGGCCATTGAAACCGAGGCTCAGGGATCCGAAAGGGTTCAAAATTGAGAGCTGCAATGTCAAAGGATCTCTTGCCACACAGTAGAACCAACCTCCAGAATTCAGTTCATCTCGGATGCCTTTCTCCGGTTAAACGAATATAATAACTGTAAAATTAATTCACAAAAAAAAGTACCAGTTTTTTTTCTCCCCTTATGCCCACAAAAAAAGAGACTAAGAGAGCCAATATTCGTTACCTGTTGGTCCAAAATATTAATGATTTGTCTTGAGGACTTACGTGCCAAAGTTATATTTTTGTATGGGGATCTAAATTGGAGAAATGCATCTGCTGGCAAAAAAAAAAAAGGAGAAATGCATCGCATTTTTTTAAAAAATACCTTTTTTCACCCAAAATTTTTTTTTGCCGTCTTAAAAAATACTTGTAATTTTAATTTTAATGGAAAATAGTTTTGAAAAATATGAGAAATTGATTTAAATTCTCAGATATATATTAATTAAAAAAAAATTCTGAAGTCTCTTATCAATATCTTGTGCAAATCACTGAATGAGTTTTCATTAAAATTTGCAAATTTGTCGGTGGAAGTACGAATCATCCGACATTTAAAATCACAAGTTAAAATATACTCCTTTCGTCCATTATTATAAAAAATATAAGACTACATTACCTAGATCAAAAAGTTAGTTAAACACAGTAAATACGTAAAAATTAGAAGTTCTTTCTCCAAAATAACTTTTTTTGTGAGGAAAAGAGTATAAGACAAAGAATAAGAAAATTATTATAGCAAAGAGAATTATGAAAAAAAAAAGAATGTGTAATGGAGAGAAATAATAGTTTGAAAATTGAGACAATAAATATATTAAATATTAAAATAAGTAATTATTAGTGACAAAATAGAAAATTTGCTACAAAAATTTAAGATAACTTGCAAATGTTGTTTATGTTTAGGAACAAGAGGAAGATAGTAGTTATTACTTATAAAAAGGAACGAAGAGAGTAGAGTACTAAATTAAGAAAAAGAAAGAAAAAATAAATAATTTATTTTCATCTTTTCTCTTTCATAATTAATTGGGTAAGTGCCCCACATAAAATTGATATGGTTGTTTCTTGATAATTCCCAGCCAGAGGTTGGATCCATAACTACCAGAGGAAATAAATAAATCAGAAAAATGGAAAGTGACAGAGGAGATTTTTTTTTTTTTCAATTGGTCTCAAACAAGCTAAAATCAAATAAATTTCAGATGAGCGTCCAAATGATTAAATTTTACAATGATATCTTGTTTTTTGGAATTCTCATACGAAATCGAGCCTAACGAGAATATTTCCACTGAATTCGGAGATGGTGATGAGATATAAAAATATCTTGCATGATATTGCATTACCATCCTTTTTAAATAAAAAATTTCAAAACTATAAAAAAAAAAAAAAGGCTTCAGTTTTTAGGTTATCGTTTCCAATACAGAAAATCCAGGCAAGAAAAGCACTGATGAAGAATGTATTTTGTGGACATATCAGCGGAAACATTAACCAAAGGAACATATAACTTGCAGAATTCTCTACATCATTGACAAAGTCGACACCTTGCTTGATTATAATGTATGAAGGAGCTGAAAATGCAGGAAGGAGCTGACATATTACAACTTCTATGGTACAGCCATTACATCACTAGAAAGTAAAGATCTACACTGCACGTATCATGACAGAGAAAAATCTACACTGCAATATTCCCCTGCATAAACTTGTAATACAAAACAAAAAGCACCAATATGCCTAAAAAGAATACAGGGCATGACAAGTCTTGTTGAAAGCCTTCAGTAACATCTCAAGGCTTGTACAATTGATCTTGGTCTGGGAATCAATCAACTCGTCAATTCCGTGTCAGTGTTAGCCTTGGTTTGCGGTGGCCTATGCCACGGCAAGAAGGTAATCATTCGTGAAGCGAGGTAGATTATGAATGCAACATACATGAATGTGAACACAGACACTATGGTGCTAACCACTGCTCCACTCACTTCAGAGATGAAGAACTCCACCAACAGATAGCCATTAATGACTATAACTAAAGCAGCCACAAACCAGGAAATAATCTGTATCCATATCAGAAGCCACTTAATACTTTTTAAGCCCAGTGATTAGAACAAGCAACTAAGAACATCGTGCGATTATGAACAAGGGATGCTGAAATGTAATTCTAAATTAAAATAATGCAGATTCCAGAGATGATCTAGTTAAACAACATAATTACCAAAAAGTCAGAGCATTGAATTTATAATCAAACCCCATGGAGTCTTGAAAGTAGAAGCTACAGTCTTCAGACAACACCAAATCCACAGACTTCATCACAGATGTGGGCTTTTAAGTATGTTCATGCATATGCTAGGTGAAGTCACTAGGTCAGTCATTGACACACGTGGTGAATAAGCACAAGAACAAGAAAAACTCAAAAGGAGCACAAAATAATGAAATATAGATACTGAACACAGAATGTTCACTAATTCTACACGCATATTAGACGCCAAAATACACTCATCATCATAAAAAGAGGAAAGTGGCTATGCTACTTCAATAGATACCACTTTAGTTCTATTTATACTCGAGACAAGACAGTAAGGCCAAAACACCAATTCAGTTCAGTCATATTTAACTCTTAGTAACAAAAAAGATTAGATATACATTGAATCAGTTATGAATTATTCCCTTGGATGGCCTTCATATGAAGTGAATTATCAGAAGTCCTATGCCAAATAAATCAACTTATAAGCCACAAAGTTGACAAAAAAGAAATCAGTTGAAAAACAATATACCTTGAGGACAATGCCAATCCTGAAAGTCCCCATCAACTGCTCCTTTGACACCAAGCAAAGCAAGGGAATAAGAGCAAAAGGGATCTGAACTGACTGAAGAATATTGAGCCATTCGTTTAGGACATCTAATGAGTCCTCAGAGGTATTAAAGACAAGAGCAACGATCATGGTTGGGATAATAGCACAACTTCGTGTAATTAAAGCCCTCACCCATTTTTTCAACCTTAAATTCAGAAAACCCCCCATGATAAATTGGCCGGCATAAGTGCCAGTAATGGTGCTACTTTGGCCAGCCGCTAATAACCCAATACCCCATATATATAAGATAGGAAAAAGTCCACCACCATACTTCTGCTGAAGATACTGCCCTGCATTTTCAAGACCAACGCTATTTGCTTGTTCAGTACCATAGAAACCCTTGGCAAACACAGTTGTGACAAATATGTTGATGACTAACGAGACCGCAAGTGCGGCAGCGGATTCAATAGTATAATAATTAAGAGCTTCTTGAACTCGTCCTTTCTTGGTTGAGTCAATCTGTCTCGATTGAACAAGAGCAGAATGCAAGAACACATTGTGAGGCATGATGATGCCGCCTACAACTGCAACAGCCTGCTGTATTGTTTTGGAACTAAGTTTTGGAACCAAAAGACCTACACAGATAACTCAGACTCTGTCAGACAGAAAACATGGATCATGAAATCATATAACGAAGGAAAATCAGCACAAATACAAAATTCCAAATCAAAGAAATAAACTTCTCACCTAGAAGAATATTTAAGCCGTCGGGCTTTGCTTCGCCAAACATCCACGCAAATGAAAGCGCCATTATACCAATCAGAACTGCAAAAAGTGCTTCCAGTTTCCTCACACCATAGTTCTCCAGAAAAAGAAAAATAAAACTGCAAGAGCCAACAAATGTATCTTTTAAAATACTCGTTCTGGTCCTTGTGGATAATTTCTTCTCTGAAACTAATAACAATAATCAACCTCGAATTCTTCCCTCGGGAGTTTACGCTGAGATTTTCTTTTTGTAAAAGTGCCAAAGAAGGTAATTCATAAACTTTTCCAAGAGCTTAATTTCGTAAAACTTTTGAAGAACTTAAACATTAAACCTTATAAAGAGGGTATAGTTCCTCGGAAGAAGTTCAATTAACCCGAGAGCAACATCGATTGTTTCTAAAGTGTAGAAAGAAGAAAGCAAGAACCAACAAAACCAAGTCAAAAATGAAAATACCGCAAGTTCAAGAAAGAACAGATAATGACTAGTTAATTACCAATCCAAAGCTGTGATGACGACCCCAGCCCAAAGAGGCACAAATCCATTACTTAGAATCCTAATAGCAATAGCACTTCCAATAACCTCTTGGATGTCAGCCCCAATTAGAGCCACCTCCGCCATAAGCCACAACACCATCATGGCCCACGTGGGGTACTCCTCTCGGCAGAGCTCAGCCAAGTGCCTTCCGGTGGCGACGCCGAGCCTGGCGGACAGGAGCTGAACGAGAAGCCCCATAGCCGTCGCCCACATGAGGAGCCATAGAAGTGAGTAGCCAGCAACAGCACCAGCCTGAAGATCACCCTCCAAATTCCCAGGATCGAGAAACGCGATGCTCATGAGAAAGCCAGGGCCAGTGAAGAGCCAGAGCTTCTTCCATGAGAACGGTGGCGCCCGACCGAAATCATCGGCGTCGGCGTCGGCAACCCCGACGACAACGATCTTCTCCGACGAATCATAGGCGGTTTCAGTCGCCTCCTCCTCGCGTGAGCCATGTAAGAGTGGTTGGTCCTGGGTAGACATGGAGCGAGAGGGGGGAAGTGGCGTAGGGGTCACGCCAGCCAAACGCTTCAGTGAGAGAGGAGTGTGAGTTTGGCAAGTGATGGACTCCACAGTGCTTCTGGTTTCATTTCAGTTCGAGGCATGAAGTTTCATGCTTTATCGTCACCGGATGAAGGTTGAAAGTGAAAACTGCCGCTACCACGGCACGTGCAGTCTTGTGAAATTTTCTTGATGTATTTAGCCAAAAAAAAAACGATTTTTTTTCCTTATTTGATTATGATATGAGCTCAAATCTAAAAAGTTTTCATGCTGCTCATCACTTCAATCAAAACCAAAAAGAAACAAATTTTTATCAACAAAAAAATTAAATCTGTATGATATTTATTTTCATGTTTTTAAAAAATACTTTTCTTGATCCCTAAACACCTTTTTAAACGGCAACTAGACTTACTTTTTTTTTTTTTTTATAAAAGACATATGGAGAAGTATATAAAAAAAACTACTGAAAAATATCATATT